GTATATCTCTTGTTATTGATTTTTATTGTTCAGGGGTAAGGTTGGATAGAAGGCATTAAGTAGGCTTGCTTGACCGGGGCATCTCGGTTGAGCGCTGGTCGCGCTCCCCGAGGTCGGGGCGTGAGAAAGTTCTAGACTCTAATGCAATGACACAGACTATATAATTTCTCACCACACATGGCACACGAATCACTAAGGACGTTTCCATTTCTGATTCTCAGTCAATTGTAAGTATTCACAGAGCCACAAAATATTAAGCATCAAGCACAAAGTGACACAAGACAAGAAAATAAGATATTGGCGTCAATAAACATGTTATATACTCAACAAGGCATCATAAGTATTTTCAAACCATATGGAAGGTCTACACATGCTATAGCCTAAATATGCTACTATCAAACTAATCAAAGGTGCCTAGCAAATCTCATTTTGCCCATCCTTTTATTCCCTAAATCTTATTCTACTCTAAAGATTAAAAAAAACTACTTTCCAGTTCAACTACATTCCGTGGAAAAGAAGCGAGGCACAAAGAAAAACTACGAGGGTTTATTACTACCTAAAATAATAAAATGACATATTTTTTGGATTTTTCTATTTTCAATTTTTTTGTTTTTGGTTAGACTATAGTCCCTCAAGAAAACTACCTAGGAGATCCATCATCGGGAAAAGTCCAATCATTTCATTGTTTTTTGCTTTTCTGTATTTCATTTAAGATATTAACTACTAAAGCAATCCTAAAAACTAAAGACTAAAGCTAGAATACAATACTAAATATTTTTAAATGCTAAAATAAAAAAGATGAAGCCAGAAAAAAATAAATATGAAATAATTAGTATATCTAATATTTACAAGTCAGGAGAGAATATATAACCTCCCACCCCACACTTAATTCATGCAATTTCCTCGGTGCATATACAAATCCATAAAAAAAAGGTGGTAGGAAAAAGGTGGTAGACCAATGCGCTCGGCACCTGTCAGTGAGGCCATAACACTCTCTTCCTTCGCTCGGATGCTGGTGATGTCCGTTAGTCGGAGGGGTGGTGGAATGACTACATCAAAATCTCACTCCTCCTCCACATCTTTTCTCAGGTACTGAGTCAGTATGTTATCGAAAGACAATCCATCAATTTTCTTGCTGATTGTCACTTGTGCCATCTGGTAGCGTATCAACTGGCCCACATTTACTTTCTGGCCAGTCGTTAGGAAGTACAGCAGGCAGACCCTTTCACGGCTAATCAGAGTCTCATGGTTGCATGGTAGTAGCCGCATGTTGATCAATTTCAACCACACATGAGCCTCCGGCTTCGTTTTTCTCTTAGGAAATTTCCAATGACGTTGGGTCTTCTTGTCACGGAACCAAGCAGCCACAAAATTGACACCACAGAGAGTGTGTTTCAGTGCCAGATATGTTGGACGGGTAATGAAGTTATCCAGGGGCTCCTGGGGATCATCCGGAGCTCCCAAGTAATTGCATATAGCTGTGCAAAAATATCAATCAACTTCCCCCGATAGGCACTAGCTGCTCAGGATCATCGGATAATAACCAACGTAAAACTCATGGACAAGGTTTACATTGCTATCCCTAGTGTTTCCAAATAGCTCAATCCAAGATCATGAATAGCCTTCCAAATTGATTGATACTTAGCTTTTAGACGGCACCAATGAACAAGCGACTTTGAGTGTATATTTCTCGACCGACAAAGCTTGTACCAATCCTTGGCAGATGGGGGTATACTCTTAAGTCCAAATTCTCGCTATCCCGTATGCTGTGGGCGTGAGGCTGCTATAGGTGAACTTCTTGCAACCCCTCAACCTAACTTGAAGTGGCCTCCCCTCCTTTCCTCTTTTTCGGTAGAGGTGCAAAGGAAGCTTTGGCTTTGGTAGGTGTAGTGGATTTGCCCTTGCATTTACCGTTGTCCTTCTTAGGAGGCATATTCGTACCTACAGAAGTAGACACTATTCAGTCTTAGAGGCATTGAATCAATTCAAAACATGGTCTTGTGACCCCATACTTAACTGTTCATCACATGATGTTCAACAATTTTGAGGCTACTCAGACTTCACCTCTTTATTGTAGCATGAGAATCACGCAATGGCACAATGATGTCTACTACAGCTGCGATGCATATAGCTATTGGTGAGCCACCCCACACTTAAAATTTCAAGTGGTTCAAGGCGACAGAGTACTAGTATTACAATCCCGGAGACTCGGGCTCCAATGGGGACAAAGAATGCCTTTGAGGCATTTTGACAAACACTTAGCATGCACTAGTTACATGAAAGTGCTTGTAGGAATGAGGGATTTCCTCGCTCTCCCAAATCGGCTTGGGAATTTCATGCTATCACCTTTGTAAACAACAACAATACAATTCCTATGGGGTTAGGAAAAACAAGCACACTGTTACTGTGAAGAACATACCCAAAAGTTATCCGAATTCATTTACACCCAATTCGAAATTTGACAAAACAAAGAGTTAGAAACCATACCTTAGATGCTTGGGAAGGGGTGTTTTTCTTCAATTGATGTTGCTAGTGAATGAATGAGTGGAGGAGTGTATGAATTTTATGGAGTTTGTGAGTAAGAGGGGTGATTAGGGCGGGCAATGATGAGTGATGTTTTGTGAGAGGGGAGATTAAGAGAACAGGGGGATTAGGGAGGGCAGTGACGGGTAGTTGTGTGTGTGTTTGATGTTTTAAGAAAGGAGAATTAAGGGGAAAGGAAAAGTATTTTTTATAAAAAAAACAAAAAATTCAAACTTGCTCGCGGCGCCAAAATTTGATCGCGCCCAACTATGCCTCCTAAGAGGTCTAACGGTCGTTGCAAATATAATCCGGTTTACAAGTTCGAATTCGAATCCCACAGAGAATTAACCTAGTAATTACAACCACAAGTTTCACACGAATTCAAGTAATCTACCTTCAGAAATATTAAATAACGATTTGAATGTTTACTAACTAAGAGAAAAGTAATTACAATGCAGTGGACAAGATTTGGAAAAGTCTAGGGTTATGATTTCTCATATTGTCGAAATCCTCCTCGCTACGTTTCCTATATATTCGCCTAAATATTCTTTACTGATCGTGAGTATATTGGGTGTCGTAATTATCTTTCGAGTAACTACAACAATTTACTAGAAGTATTCACCCGAACTACGCTAGCTGGCACTAATTCATTGCTCACTAAGATCGCACCAAGGTCTCTTTATTCCTAATCCCACCTTTAAACCCTCTTTTCAGCTCCTTCAAGCCTGAACAAGTGATCAACAACTTGGTCTTGGGTTCCCTTTCAATCACAGATTACCAAGTCGAACTCTTGTTGCAGTAGCACCCATCGAATCAGGCGCGAATTTGACTCGTTCTTCTCAATTAGGTACCTAAGAGCAGCATGGTCAGTAAACACAATTACTTTCGAGCCTATCAGGTATGACCTGAATTTATCAAATATGAACACCACTACTAGCATCTCTTTCTCTATCACTGTGTAATTCAGTTGGGCACCACTCAAGGTTCTACTTGCATAGTAGATTGGATGCATGACTTTATATTTTCTATGTCCTAGATCTGCTCCCACATCATAGTGGCTTACATCACACATTAGCTCAAAAGGTTGTTCCCATTTACATAAAGGGTTAGCAATTTTGAAAAAATCTTTTATAAACCGCCTGTAGAAGCCGGCGTGACCAAGGAACCTTCTTATGGCCTTGATGGAAGTGGGTGGAGGCTACTTCTCAATTATATCAACCTTAGGACGGTCCACCTCAATGACACTACTTGACACTAGGTGTCCCAAGACTATACCTTCCTGTACTATGAAATAGCACTTTTCTCGTACCATTACCAGATTAGTGTCCATACACCTCTTCAATACTCTTTTCAAGTTCATAAAGTAATCTTCGAATGAGTGCCCACCTCTGAGAAGTCATCCATGAAAACCTTCATTATTTCCTCTACCATATCTGTGAAGATGGTCATCATGCACCTTTAGAATGTGGCAGGTGTGTTGCATAGGTCAAACGGCATTCTCCGAAAAGCATAGATTCCATACGGACAGGTGAACGACGTTTTTTCTATTCTCCAGGGCAATAGAGATCTGGTTATACCTCGAGTTTCCATCTAGGAAGCAAAAGTGGGACGTCCCCGCCAATCTATCTAGCATGTGATCATGAATGGCAGCGAAAAGTGGTCTTTTCGGGTGTCCTTGTTCAATATTCTTTAATCCATGTAGATTCGCCATCCCGTGACTGTTCTTGTTGAGATCAACTCATTGTTCTCATTTTGCACTACAGTCATTCCATCCTTCTTTGGCACACACTGAACTGGGCTGACCCAATTAGTGTCGGAGATGGGGAAGATGATTCCTGCATCTAACCACTTGATCACTTCTTTCTTCACCATTTCTTTCATGTTGGGGTTCAACCTTTTTTGATGTTCTCTGGAAGGTTTGTGCCCATCTTCCAGTAGAATCTTATGCATACAAAATGTTGGGCTGATACCTTTTATGTCTGCAATGGTCCACCTAATTGCAGTCTTGCATTCATTTAGAACCTGCAAAAGTTGTTCTACTTGTACATCTAACAAACCAGATGAGATAATAATTGGTAAGGTTGATCTTGGTCCCAAGAAAGCATACCTGAGGTGAGATGGTAACGACTTTAACTCAACCTATGATGGCTCTTCAATTGATGGCTTAGCTGGAGGGGACTTTCTTTATTCTAAATGTGTAGGCTCGAATTCGAGCTCTCTTTTCCAGTACCCTTGGCCTTCAGGGCCAAAACCCACTCCGATAAGTCCTCACCACCTACCATTTCTAAGTTTATCAAGCAGGCTGTTAAGGGGTCTTTTGCATTCTGTGCCTCATCTTCTTCATCTAGAATCACATCCATAACTTCGATCAGAGAGCAATTAGCAAACTCATTGGGTCGCCGCATAGACTTCTACACATTGAATGTTATTTCTTCATCATTCAGTCTCATTTTTAGCTCCCCAGTTTCACAATCAATCTAAGCTCTCCCTGTGGCCAAGAATGGCCTTCCCAAAATTATGAGAATCTCTTCATCAACCTGGCAGTCTAGAATAACAAAATCTGTCGGAAACACAAACTTTCCAACCTGCACAAGCACATCATCAAGTATACCTGATGGCCTTTTCACCGTTCATTCGGCTAGGTGTAATAACATGGATGTGGGTCGTGCCCTTCCAATGCCTAACCTTTTATAGATAGACAAGGGCATTAAGTTTATGCTCGCCCCCAAATCACACAATGCTTTGGCAAAAGCATAGCTGCCTATGGTGCATAGAATTGTGAAACTCCCTGGGTCAGATAGCTTCTCAGCTATAGGTCTTGTCATGACAGCACTACATGTCTGAGTCAGTGCCACAGTTGCCAAGTCTTGAAAGTCAAACTTGTGAGACATCAATTCCTTCATCATTTTTGCATAACCGGACATCTCCCTCAAGGCATCAATCAGTGGAATGTTCACCTGAATCTGCTTCAACATCTCCATGAATTTCTTATACTTCTCATCCTTCTGATATTTGGTCAACCTCTGGGAGAAGGGTGCTGGAGGTCGCTTCCTTCTTGTGACTTGAGTTAGATCCCGCTCAAGCATTTTTTCTAATGCCTTCTCTTGCACTTTCTCAGTCTCCTTTGCAACCTCTTTCTCTTTTCTTAGTTCCTCCTGAGCTAGCTGCACTGTTACTTCTGTTAGCTCAGTTGACCCATCAACCTCAATCGGTATTGGTACGAGTATCTCAGTTGGTTGGCTTTCACGAGCAATTTCTTGCTCTAGATCAAGTTCCCTATCGTTTCTCAAACTCACCGCCATAAGCTGCTTTGAGCCTGCTCTTTTGGATTGACATGTGTGTCCGCATGTAACGTCCCTTGAGGATGATTATTCAGAGCCATAGATATCTGCCCAATTGAATCTCAATGCCTTTTATCGCTGAGTCATGTGCTTCAACCTTCTCTTGCATTTTTCCACTAGACCTTATCAGTTGTACCCATAATCTTGTCTCACTATCTATTGTTATTGAGGCTGTTGATAAGCTAGCTGCTGATTTTGCTGATTGTATCCATATTGCCTTTGATAAGGCACAACTTGACTCTGTGGTCGCATAACTCCAGGATTGTTGTTGTTATTGTACTGCTGTTGTGCTGGTCTATACTGCTGAATTTGCTGCCCCCAGTTGTAACCACCTTTCCTCTAGCCTCCATAGTTGCCCACATAGTTCATATTCTCTTGATAGTTTTGAGTGTCACTTTCATATTCACCACTCCATAAGAACACATGGTTGGTTAATGCATGGTGTGCATAAGCCTCCATTAGTCATGTCAACTATGTGCACCTCCTTTTGGCCTGACTCATCAATCTTTTTGGATACTCAATTGCGTCATCATAGTAGCCATATTTTTAGCCATGTAGTTGTTTGGGTCTAGAGCTACTGAGTGAACTACATGAGTGATTGTAGAGTCTCTTTTCATTCATCCTGAGTTTTGAGCCATTTTATCATGTAAGACCTTGCATTCTCTGAATGATTTGCTAAAAACTGCTCCACCTGCTGAAGCATCAACATTGGCCTTCAAGCTGTGTGCCAATCCCATGTAGAACCTTTGCCCCAACATCTGATCATGAATGCCATGGTGTGGACACTCGACCAGCATCCCTTTGAACCTCTCCCACGTTTCTTGTAGTGTTTCAGATGGTTTCTGCGTGAAGCTCAATATCTCATCAACTTGCTTGGAAGTCTTATTGGGTGGGTAGAATTTGTTCAAAAACTGCTTGACTAATTCCTCCCAAGTAGTGATGGAGTTTATGGGGAGCAAATTGAGCCAAGCCTGAGCCTCTCTCGTCACTGAGAATGGAAACAACACCAGTCTTATTACTTTTGGTGTCACATTCATTTGCCTTTGCGTGACACAAATCAATAAGAAACTTTTCAGATGCTGCTGTGGATCTTCAATGTAAGACCCCGGAGATAGTCCCTTGTTCTGCAACAAATGTAGCATGTTCTTTTGTAATTTGAAATGATTCTACTTGTATCAGAGGGACTACAATTGCGGTTGCCAGGTTTTCAGTGGTGGGTTGTGCCCAATTATACAAGGCTGCTTCTGGCACAAGAGGTTCCACACCCTGATTTTTTGGGTCATTCACATTTTTTTGGTTGTCTATTACGTCACCATGTCTAGCTCGATTTGTTTCATTGAGTTATCTTGTCGTTTTTCTTTCTTGTTTGCTCGATTTAGTGCCTTGAAAGCTTTCTCAGGTTTCGTTAGTGCCTCGTACAATTCACTAGTTCTTGAGGAGTTTCTAGGCATGCACATGTAACACACAAGACTACAAACGTTAGAGTTTCAATATAATGAATTTCAAGTCGAGAAAGCTGAATAAAGTAGTAATTCTTAAAATTCTTTTAGCCGTAATTAATAACACCATTAATTCCCCGACAACAGCGCCAAAGTTTGATCACGCCCAACTATGCCTCCTAAGAGGTCTAGCGGTCATTGCAAATATAATCCGGTTTACAAGTCCGGAGTCGAATCCCGCAAGGAATTAACCTACTAATTACAACCCATAGTTTTGCACAAATTCAAGTAATCAACCTTCTAAAACATTAAATAACGATTTGAATGTTTACTAATCAAGAGCAAAGTAATTAAAATGCAGTAATTTATAACTAACATAGCAGATGTTGTGGACAAGATTTGGAAAAGTCTAGAGTTATGATTTCCCCTATTGTCGGAATCCTCCCCACTACGTTTCCTATGAATTCGCCTAAGCATTCTCTATCGGTCGTGGGTACTTCGGGTGTGATAATTTTCTTCCGAGTAACTACTACAATTTACTAGACGTATTCTTCCGAACTACGCTAGTTGGCACTAATTCATTGCTCACTAAGATCGCACCAAGGTTTCGTTATTCCTAGTCTCACATTTAAACCCTCCGTATCGATTTTTCACATACGTTAGGAGTGATGTTGTTCAACAACTATCTAAATATGTACCCTTTACCAAGCAATACACACACAATTGAGAGCTCTTCAATCTACCTCAATGTAAACGTAGTTGAACAAGTAGAGAAAAATCAAAGGCAAATATATATTAAATGCAATAGATAATCATCCTCCAATAGGTTCCATCAAACCCTATATTACTCATAAATGTATCAACAATTATCATGATGTTCAAAGATATTAAACTACAAAGTAAGGAGATAAACGGAGGGAAAACTCATTTGATTCTTGCTCCACAGTGCTTCGTAGCCTTTTTCTTCTCCAAAATAGTGTCTAACCCTTTCTCAACTCGTTTAGGGAGTATTTATATGTTAGGGCCGGAATCCTTTAGTCAAAATCTGGTTTGGAGTCTTTTAATCCGCAACTTTTAATTATCGGGCTATAGACCTCGCGAGGCCAGGCTTATAGTGCGGTCAGCCTGGCTACAGATCTGGCTACGCCTGGCCTGTAGTGTGGTCAAACTGGCTATATAGTTGGCTTTACTTGGTCCGTAGCACGGTAAGGCAGGCTATAGAGCTGACTTTACTTGGTCTGTAGCATGACTTGGGTACTTGATACTTTTGTGCTCTTTTCTTGCATTTTTGTCCTTTTTTTGTGTGCAACTTTTATTTGACTCTTTCTTCTGATGCTCCTACAAATAAAACAATACAATTTAGCTCAAATGTCGTAAAATTAATCACTAAACCAACAAAATATAGGGCGAGTAATGTACTAAAAGTATAACATTTTGGCCGAACATCAGTATAGGTCCATTGAGTCATTTGGGACTTGGAAGCAAAATTTGAGGTCATTCGGGTTGATTTGGTATAATTCGGCATGAGTTTTAGAAGTTTAAAAGTCCATTAGTTCATTAGGCTTGAATTAAGGTGTGATTCATGGTTTTGATGTTGTTTGGTGTGTTTTGAGGTCCTGAGTAAGTTCTTGTTATGTTTAGGTACCGGTTTGTGTGATTGGGCGGGGTCCCAGGGGTCTCGGGTGTGTTTCAAATATGTTTGGGGTTGTATTGCGCTCTTATTTGATGTTTCGATGTTGTTTTCTTGGGCATAAAGGGTACTATATTGAGAAAACGACCATTGATTTGTCATTATATTGAACCACCAGATCCGTCTTATAATTACGGAACCATAGCAATAAGAATCGTCGATTCTGAGGTCGTATGAGAGAGTTATGCCCATTTTCGTGTCGAGAAAGATTGCTGGTTTCTGGTGCAGACTTTTGTTCTTCGCAAATGCGAGAGAGACTCCACGAACGAGAAGAAGGTTTTCTTGATTGACCGGTCAACGCAAAACATTATTCTTTGCGAACACGAAGGTCTCCGGCGAAGACGAGGAACAAAAATCATCTGGACAGTGTTTTAAATCGAGAATTTTAGTGTTTTGCGAATCCTGAGTTCTAGAGCTCCGTTTGAGGTGATTTTTGCGGTGTTGTTGTCGTCTAAACAAGGGGGTAAGTATTTGACCTTTATTTTGATGTTTTTCCATGATTACTTTTGTTGATTATTTTTTTTATCCGTCTTTGGATTGTAAAAATTGGGGTTTTGAGCCCCAAAGTTGAGAAATGGTAAATCCTTGATTTGAGGGTCAATTCGTAGATGATATTGGATGATTTTTATGGGTATATACTATATAAGTTAAGAGTAATACTTATTTTTGATAATATTTGGAATCCGGGCACGTGGGCCCGAATGTGATCTTGTTGACTTTTCGAGCGGAGTTGGGAATTGTTACAAATTATTAAATTACGATTATTGGAGTATATTTTGATTGGTTTGCACGTTTTGGTTTCGGATCATTTGGCATCGGTTTGAGGAGTTAGAGCCGGCTATCGGATTTCTGAGCGAGGTAAGTCTCATGTCTAACCTTTTAGGGGGAATTTACCCCGTAGGTGTTATGTTTATTATGTACTACATGTTGTGGGAGCTAAGCATGTATGAGGTTACGAGTATGCGTGCATATGCTAGAATTTCTGATTATGTCCGGGTAGACTTAAACTCCGGCCATGCTTTAATTGTACTATTTGAGTTATTCATGCCTATTTAAATTCTTTAATTTCCATTTAGCCTAAGACTAGACTCGCGTAGAGTATCGGAATTGCTACTTTCGATACTTGACGAGCTACTTGATTAGCCATGAAAATTGTACTTTCCTTTACGGATTTTTTTTGCTTTGTGCGTATTCGTTCGATAATTTTCTTGAATTTTATAACTCACACGTATATTCGTGAGTAGGGTTAGTGACCCATCAAAGTTTTATGTTCTAATGGGATTGGACTGAACGCCTTAGCAATACTCTTATGGGATCGGGCCGTTCGCCTCGGCGGTATCATGTAATACTCTTATGGGATCGGGCCATTCACCTCGGCGGTATCATGTAATACACTCTTATGGGATCAAATCGTTTGCCTTGGCGTTATCATGTAACACACTCTTATGGGATCGGGTTGTTCGCCTCAGCAGTATCATATAACACACTCTTATGGGATCGGGCCGTTTGCCTCGGCAGAGTAAAATATTCTGATGGGATCGGGCCGTTCACCTTGGCAGGATTATATATCACACTCTTATGGGATCGGGTTGTTCGCCTCGACGGTATCATATAACACACTCTTATGGGATCGGGTTGTTCGCCTCAGCGGTATCATATAACACACTCTTATGGGATCGGGTTGTTTGCCTCGGCAGATGTAACGACCCGATCGGTCGTTTTGAGCTTTTGCACTTTGCTCGCCAGTTCTCGAGCATGACTTGCCCCGTGTAATGTATTATGACTTATGTAAATCGTTGTTTTTGATTTTCAGGGTAATCGGAATGAATTTGGAAGAGCATTTCTCAGTTTGAAGCTTGAAATTGAAAGGTTTGACCAAGTTTTGACTTATTAGTAAACGACCTCAGAATGCCTTTATGGCTCGGATAGCTTCGTTAGGTGATTTGGGACTTAGGAGTGTGTCCGGAATATTTTTGTGATGTCCGGTGTAGAATTAGGCTTGAATTAACGAAAGTTAGTTTTTGGCGTTTTCCGGTTGATAGGTGAGATTTTGATATAGGGGTCGGAATGGAATTCCGGAAGTCGCAGTAGTTTCGTTATATCATTTGGGATGTGCGTGCAAAATTTCAGGTCATTTGGACGTGGTTTCGTTGGGTTTTTGATCAAAAGCGGAATGCAGAAGAATTTAGAACCTTAGGCTTGAATTTGATGAGTTTTCGTGACTTTGATGTTGTTTGAGGTGTTTTGAAGATTGGTACAAGTTTGAATAAGGTTATGGAATATGTTTGTGCTTTTGGTTGAGGTCCCCGGGACCTCGAGTGAGTTTCGGATGGTCAACCGGACCATTTCATGAAGTTTGGAGTTGCAGAAATTGCAGGTTCAGCTGTTGCAGAAGATTTCTCTTCGCGATCGCGTAGGGGCTCTCGCGATCGCATAGAAGGTTTTGAGGGGGAGGTCCAGTTGTTCTTCGCGTTCGTGGAGGTTGGGTTGCGATCACATAGAGTAATTTTTGGGAGCTGAGTATTTGTGCTTCGCGATCGCGAAGGTTGTCCCGCGATCGCGATGAAGGAATTTTAATAGCTGGGTAGAATGTTTTAAAGACCTGTTCGTCATTGAGTTAAGGATTTTGGACCCTAAAACTCGATTATTTGTAATTAAGGAACAAAATATCAGTGTTTAATTCATGAAAATCAGTAGAAAAAGGTGGAGTTAGGGCTTGAGATTATGACACCTTCTAGGGATGATTTGAGGGGTCAAACGAACTCCGATTTTCGAGTTCTTTATATGTACAGACTCATGAGATGATGAAGAACATTTTGGTATAAAGTTTGTCCAGTTCTAGAACGCGGGTCTGGGGGTCGGGTTTTGACTGATTTTTCGGGTTTTGTGCTTAATATCGATATTTTTCAATTGGAGTTCATTCGCTTAGCATAATTTAATGATAAAAATCTGAACTTGGTAGATTTGAAGCACTCAGAAGTCGTTTCGAAGGGCGAAGGCATTGCAAGCTAGATTTCGGGCCGAATTGAGGTGAGTAATGATTTTAAATGTTGTCTTGAGGGTATGAAACCCCGGAATTTCACAGCGTCGGCTATGTTGAGGTGACATACACGCTAGATGACGAGCGTGGGGTAGAGCACCGTTGGGAATTGTGACTTAGTCCATCCCGAATGATTATTTTACTGCGTATTTGATAGTTAATTATTTAATATTATTTTGGGCTAAATGCCATATGTGGGCTTCTTGCCAGCTGTTTGAACCCTTAGGGGATTTTTAAATGATATTTTCCTCACTGATTGATTTCATACTGGTGCTCAGTCATACTATATTTTACAATTTTAAAGACTCAGCTGTATTATTATGTTTTAAACACATTAAATGATATTTTCAAAGGTATTTGAGCTGAGCTTCATATTTTACTGTGGCCCGAGGGGCTTATGAGATCTGACTGACTAAGGCCGAAGGCCTGTGTTGTGAGGATACATTGGGGTCGGGCTGCACGCCGCAGCAGTGATACACTTATTACGATAATGAGGCCGAGGGCCTGAGATTTGTACGCCACGAGGTGGCTTGAGATTTGATATGAGGCCGAGAGCTTGTTTATGATGCCACGAGATGACTTGATTATGCGCTTGGGCCGTAAGGGGCCCCTCCCGGAGTCTGTACACCCCCAGTGAGCGCGGGTACCCATTGTGATATGAGATATAGCCCGAGGGGCTGGTATTGTTCTGTGATATAGCCCGAGGGGCTGATTCGGTTGTTACTGTGCCCGAGGGGCAGTTATTATGTGTTTACTCTTTTAGTTGTTTTTCCTGTATATTGTTTAACTATTTAAAGGTTGCTTATGAGATTTTACCGCTTAATTATATTTACCGATTTTTGTTATGCCTCTTTTAGATTAATGTTGTGCCGTACGTGATTTTATATTACTCAGTCTTCGTTTATTTTTATTACTCACTGAGTTGGAAGTACTCACTTTACTCCCTGCACCTTGTGTGCAGATTCAGGTATTTCTGAACCCTGTAGTGGGTATTGGTTGCTCAGAGGCAGAGTCATCGGAGTTTAGCAAGGTAGCTGCCCGACGTTTGCAGCACTGCTTTTCTCCCTCTCGACTTCATTAGACTGCATTTAGTACATCTTTGACTACTTGTATTCGGACCTTAGTAGATGCTCATGACTAGTGACACCCCGATGCCAGGCTGTGTTGGGTTTGTTTTTCCGCAAATTATACTGTTAACTACTTATTTTTGAGATTCTATCATGTTTAGGACTTAATACTTATTATTTTACTGCTTAAGATTGGAATGGGAATGTGTCGGCTGGCCTTGTCTTACGAGAGGCGCCATCACGACCGGGTCCGGGTTTAGGGTCGTGACAGCAGAGTAAAATATTCTTATGGGATCAGGACGTTCGCTTCGACAGGATTATGTATCACACTCTTATGGGATCAGGCCATTCGCCTCGACAGTTCTATGAAACACTCTTATGGGATTGGCCGCTCGCCTCGGCAGCATCGTGCGAAATACTTGATAAGGAGTCCACGTACTCATGAGTTTTCTGACTTGAGATATGACTGCTGGTTTGGTATTGACCATTACGTATTCCATTTGAGGAGATATCCGATAATTGAGGACTTTGTGTTCACTATTCTGCTGTAGACTATACTATTTGCCTATATTTATTCTCATTGTTTATTTACCATATTTCATACGTGTCTACTTTATTATATTTGATTTACTAAACCACTAATAAGTGTCAATGTCGACCCCTCGTCACTACCTCTTCGGGGTTAGGCTAGATACTTATTGGGTACGCGTTGATTTATGTACTCATGCTTCACTTCTGCACTAATATGCAGGATCTGACAGGTTGATATGGTGGTCATTTGGGCGCATAGGCACAGTTGCTGAGGGAATTTTATGGTAAGATGCATTCCATGCTCGATTCGCAGCATAGAGAGTCTCCATCATAATAATTTACTTTATGCTGTCTATCTTGTATTCCAGACAGATGTTGTATTGTTATTGTACTTCCTAATAGATGCTCATGCACTTGTGACACCGGGTTTTGGGATGTTCTAGAATTTGTTTATGGTTTTGCTTACCATTGACACAATTTTATTTATATTTCATTTAAATTATATGTATCTACGATTTTTAATGCATTGATTTCCCTATCTAATAAGATTTATGATTTCAAAAATAATAAAATAAATAATTAAGTTGGTAGTTCACCGTTGGTTTGCCTAACGGCGACGTTGGGCTCCATCACGACCTATAATGGGTTTTGGATCGTGACAACTAGAGGTACTAGCATATCTCAAGGTTAAAAGGGAAACTTTAGAAAATCTTATTGATTTATCGGTCAAATCGTTAAGCAAATTCGAAGAATCGTTAACTGAATCGATAAGCCATTAGCGTAAAATACAAAACCATTTTCGAAAAGCTAAATCGATAACCCAACACCAATAAAGCAATAACACCTTTCCCGGTTCGGTTTATCAATTAAATAGAAATTTGTAACCTACTAAGGGCAGCACAATGCACAAGGTATCTTGCGTTCACACAGGATCCAGGGAAGGGCTGTATCCCAAGGGTGTGATATAGATAGCATATCCTAATGCAAGCATTAATGGCTGGTTCCACGAGTCGAATCCGTGACCTATACGTCACACAGACAATTTTACAGTTGTAACCTACTAATTAGAACAAAAAGGTTCACGTCAAAATATGAGAAACCTAAAAGAATTTATTTATTCCTTTATTTTTTTCTAAAATATGAACTAGCCCTTTTATTGGTTATTAGAACACTAACTCGTCATTATCTTGACTGCATTATCGAAGGTTCTGGCGAAGTCGGAATAAGATCGATATTGAAAAACAATAGTATAGCCACTTTAAAAAATAATAGCCGGCAAAATAGTATATATTTTCACCATATTATATATTAATGAATAATATAGATATAAAAGATCCTCTTAGTGCTTTTTACCATAGTGGAAAGAGAGCACCTTTAACCAAATCTAAAAAAGAGGTTACATTCTAAGAGAGAGCTAACAACTACTTCTCCACAGAACACTGAAAGAACATTCCTGCAACATGAAATCCATATGGTCAGGCGTCAGCTAACAAAAACGGTGCTAGTTTTAGCTAAACCAAAGATCAGAACAGAAGACAAACTCAGTCAAGCCAAGTGCCAATTCAGGCGAACCAAGCACTAGCAGAGTAGAAGATTAGTTCAACCGAGCGAAGGGGCAAGTTAAGGCAAACGAAGGACTGATCAAGCAGAAGAGTAGTTCAAATGAGTCGTTGACTGACAGTTCATACGTACTACGAACTAGGCAAGCAGAAGACTAGTTCAGTTGAGTCGAAAGCTAGTTCAAGTAAACTGATGACCAATTAGCTGAGTCAGAGCTTGAATCCCTGAAACCGCATCAGCTGATCAACAGTGAAACGTTTTTGAGTCTTACATCACAACAAATTATGCTTAAATTGTTCGGAATCACCCAGATAGGCAGGGTTTGATCACACTTAGAGTGGACCAAGTCTAAAGAGCTATGATGGTGAATCAAATTACCATGACGACTTTTGACCAAAAATATGTATGAATAAAAATATTCAAAAGAATGGCACAAAGAGTTTCAGCATTCTAATCAAATGTTCTCCAGTAACTTGGTACATCGGTTAGCTCAACGTCACTTGCATTATATTTTACTTGTTCTCAAGACTTTAGAGAATTCATTATCGTAGTCCTTTAACTTCCTGAAAAACCATCCATATACGATCCATCTGCTTGCTGTTCACTTGCATTTGAGTATTGTGCATTATACATACATGTATTCACCCTCACGAACTGCATTAGCAGCTCCTTTTCTTTCTTCCTCTGCTTCCTTTTCCCTCTCCTTCCAGCTTTCATAGTGATGATCATCTGTGAGCAACTCATGCCGACAAATTGGACAAGAGTTGTGCTCATCCTGTTAAACCATGAGAGTTTTGGAAGAATTAGAAAATTGCTATGGGGAAAGAATAGGTACAGCAAAATTAAGTACAATAAGTACAGCAAAGTTTCAACTTCTATACCAGCCATGGCTTCAGGCAAGGAGGGTGAAACATATGCTTGCAGGGCAACTCTTGCATCTTGTCATCTACAACTAACACTTCCCTGCAAATTGCACATTCCGCATCTGCACCCATCTTCTTCAAGAACTCATCTGTGACTGTAGTAACTGGGAGGTTTGCCACAACTTTTTTACTGGCAGGTGGTGCTCTCGGGGCAGCAGGACCATCGTCCAGTATCTAAAATAGAACAAATTAGAACTGTCATTATTTCAACCCAACTTGTATTGGCGTAGGAAGAATCCATATAATTCCCCCCTTTAACAAGTTTTTCTTTCTTAAAATTCAAATCAACAAGCATGCATCCAAAGTAAAGATAGGGCTAGCGTTAACTAAATGTCCTTTCAAGAACCTTTTTTCTCAGATACTTATGTACATAGTAAACAAGTGATTATCAAATGAGAAATAAAACAAAAGTGCATCAACTTCATTATTTAACTCATTTTTTAGAGTCGAGGGCATGTGAGAACGCAGTAACTAGTTTAGGGAACTCCCAGACGAAAGATACCCTTGACATATTGCTGTTCACTGAGTGAAAATTACAGGCTTCAGTTGCATGCGATACTAGAGTAAAACTAGAGATACCTCTGGGATTATATTATCTAGTCTAGCAACCAGCTCCTCAAGTACGTTGCGAGCACCTTCTGAAGCGTCAGCACTGGCTAAATGACCTTCAGAGGATTCGCCAGCAAACAGTGTTGCAGCAGCAGCGAGAAGATTAGACTGCACAAGCCAACCAGGCTGCTCAGGCTCAGGGTCAACAGTTAGATGCCCCTCAAAAAGGTATCCTGAATCAAAATAACAGGATAAGTATCACATACATGCAACATTTTTGTCGGTATATTTGTAGCAACAGAGCACATGGGTGATATACTCAAAATCTTCATAAAGGGGTCTTACCAGTACTTCTATTTGAGCCATTTACTGTAGCTGTTGTATTTAGAGATTCATTCTGTACTTCAGCTAATTGCTCTCGTGCCTGACTAATGCAACTTTGCAAATGTTTCTTTTCAGAAGACTCTGACACCAGTTGCTCAGCCTCAAGGAATAACCGAAGCCCAGCATTCCAGAATCCAGGCATTGTGTATCTTGTCTTTAAAATGGTGGCGACCCGGCATACAACCGTATAGAACTGCAAGCATTTGGAATTTACTTGGATTTATTCAACAGTAGCAGAATCTTATGCAAGTTAAGGCACTTTTTCCAATATATCTTGTCACTTTTTTTACAAGTCTTATGCAAGTAAAGGCACTTAAAGTCGACTTAAAGCAAAGTAAATACTACCATATTAATTCTCCTGTCTAGACCCTTTTTAAATCATAACCCATAGTTTGTGATGGGAAAAAGAATTACACCCATATTTAAAGCAGAGCAAATTACAAACAATGAGGTGAGTTTGTGCATGCTAATGTCTCTCACTACTTACTATAGAACATGTTATGTATGTTCGAATCTCTCTCCCACCTGAAGGCTTTGAGGTGAGGCGAAGGTGATTTAAAGCTTTGGTGTAATATTTTTCTCTCAAATACGCAAGCATGGAGATCTGATGACTATTACGGACAAAATGAAGAAGCTATATTCTTCACATAGCATCTTGCACACATTCCAAGAATCATTTACTTGAGACTGAAAAGTGACTAAGAGTATGAGCATTTGGGGGTCAAATAATCAGTTATCAACTACAGGAAACTCTGCACCCCC